TTCCCTAAGCTGAGGATGGCCTTCGAGAGCCTCGTCCTGGCCCACAAACTTCCCAGCTCTCCTCTGACCTTGCTTCCCCAGCCCAGGATCATCTGGATGAAAAACAAGATGGACATCCAGGGTGATCCCAAATACCGCGCCCTCTCTGAGCAAGGTGTCTGCACCCTGGAGATCCGGAAACCCAGCCCCTTCGATTCCGGGGTCTACACCTGCAAGGCCATCAATGTGCTGGGGGAGGCGTCTGTGGACTGCCGGCTGGAGGTCAAAGGTGAGGACTTGAGAGGGGTCACTCCTTAGGAACCCTCCAATGGATAGGAGACCAGGAGAAGCCACCTCTTCTCCTGTTGGACTAGACGAGGCTGAGCGCTGAAAATCAAGGCAAGACAGGGGTAGTGAAAATCGAGGTCAGGCTGTCAGAAGGACTTTCCAAGAGGGAGGATGGCTTAATGTGGGTAAAGGAGGTGGTAGAGTCTGCCTCGTAGACAGATGGATCACTGGGGTGAGGGCATGAGACTCACTCACCCCCCCTCACCCCCCACTCGGGTCCCCAGCAGACACCCACCCCCTCCCTGAGCTCTAACCTTCAGATTTCTCCCAGCCTCAGCCACACACTGAAGAGCCACTGGTGGAGGCTGTGATGAGCAGGAAGGTAAATGGCTGCATGCACTCCCTCTGCTGCCTCTGGGGGTGGAGGCCAGGAGCAGGGGTGGGAGTGAGAAGGGAAGGGGGCAGCCAGCTCTGAGTACAAATCTGCAGTCACAGGCAACGAACACGCACAGTCCTGGGGGTGCTCCACAGACGCTGCAGGGCAGGGTGCTGCTGGTGAGGCCTGGAAGGGATGGGCATTCAGTGGAAGGGATTCAGTGGATAGTCAGAGGACAGGATCTAGTCCTGGCTCTGAAAGACCTTAGGCCAGGGCCTTCCCTTCGACCTGTTTCCTCAGTCAGAGAAGTAGGGGCAACATCCTTGCCCTGACTGCCCTCCCCAGGTGGTTCTGAGGCCCTGGACTAGTGAGGATGTATCCTGGAGCTGCAGTGGGCAGAGCTGAGACCTGGGCTTTGGGCCCAAGGGCCTAAGGGGAAGGAGGCCTGGGAAAGGAAGAGGGGTACTGCTTTGCCCTCCCCATATCACCCCTTCAGCAGGGCACGTATAGCCCAGCTCTGCCTAACAGCAGGGGCTCATAAAACCTGTTCTCTGCTAGGTGCTGCAGGCCAGAGGGTTCAGGGCAGCCAGGCCCAGAATCAAGCTCCACGGAGGCCAGAGGTGCCCATCTCCATAGTGATGACTGATGGCTTTGCTCCTTGGTACCTGCCTAGCAGGCCCCAGGCCAGGCTTCCTGGATACAAGGGGCCCTGGAAAGTGCAAAGATTGGAGCGCTCCTGCAGGGAGTTGTACACTGGGCGAGAAGCACTTGAATAAAGGTGTGTGGTGATACAGTGCAGGGGCCTCTGTGACAATGAGCATCATCATGATGGGGGCGGCACTGCGTCACCACGAGGCGGGTGTTGAATATGTCACCATGAGGGGATCTCCACCTCTGACACCATGAGGAAGGTGCCAGTGGGAGGGGGCTCGCGGTGTCATGGGGCTTTTCCAGATATGAGATTTTTTAGGATCTCATTTCACACGCAGAGTTTGCTACCCTAGGAGGATAACTATAGGAACAGACACACCCTTCTTTGGAACCCTCCTTGCTCCAAATGCCTCCAAGTCCCCCATCTCTTCACCTCTCCCCATCCCCCACCATTGCCTTTTCTCTGTTGAGGTTGTTTGTTGCCCTCAGACGGTGGTGGGGTACGTTCTCCATGAGGATTCACAGTCTTTTATTAGTCAAGTGGCCCGCCCTGGGAGCCAGGGGATATCCCACCTCTGAGAGAGGGAAGGGCCTGGAATCATGTCTGGAGTTGCTATTCACACTTAGAACCTGGCCCCTCATTCTTCTGTATAAGGAGCTTTGGGCTTGGCCAGGAGTAGACCCTTCCCCAAGGGTTTAGGCTAAAGGCCTAGACTCTGCAACAGAGCCTCAAAGCCCATGAACACTGTACTAAGTGTCAGGGGTACTGAGGGTACCTAAATTCTGGTAACACCTTCCTGCCCATACAACCAGGAGGGTAGTCTCCGCTGGCCTGACCACCCTGTCACACTTCATCCCAGCGTGACCACAGCAGCCCACTTTCCCTTCTTCATCCACTCCCCAGGCAGGCAGAATGCTCCCAAGAGCTGGCATGTCTGGGGCTCTCCTCTTCACCTGGCTCAGAAGCAATAGAGATGGGTGTCACCTAGGAGGGCACATGCCCATCACCGAGAGCTGGTGGCCCAGAGGACAGGCAGTTACACTCCAAGTCTCCTACTTGGGAGGCTCAGGGCAAGAATGAGGGCTCAACACTGTCTCCCAGTGGCTGTTTGAGGCCCACACCTACCATTCCACATTAGCTTCAGAGAGCTCGGAGCCCCCACTCAGGTCCAAGGGCTAGTGGAGAATAAAGCAAATACTGGAAATTATTTCTGGACTCGTTCTTTTGGCCTCTCCCAAGTATAACCCTGGGATCCCCAGGGCAAAGAGAGCAGGCACTCTGGCATGTAGCATGGCCAGGAACACAGGGTTCTGGGAGGTGGGGACTGAGGCTCCTTACTTCCTGCCTGTCAGTGACTCTGGCCACCTTCTGCTACAGAACAGGAGAGAAAACAAGGCCAGGACATCTAGTTTCTCCCCTTCCCTCCATCTTGGCGGGGATATTCTGCTCTCCTTAAACTTGGTCCCAAGGCTGCACCACTACCACCTAAGACAAGCAGACTCCCCTCCCTTCCCGCCATGGGAGCTGAGCTTGCCCTCCTGGCCCACATGGCCCCACGGCAGTCTCAGTGTCCCCAAGCCCCACTCAGCCTGATGCGCTGGGCTGCCTGTGGGTTGGTCAGGCAGGTGGGGAGGGTTAGGGTTAGGGTTAGGTTAGGGTGCTGCCCCCACTTTCCTCGTCCCCTCAGGTTACCTCATTCTTTCCCCATGGACTGCCCTCCCAAAACTCCTCCAGGACCTCGAGGTGCAGGGCACTCACAGCCCAAAGGCCAGTAGGGAAGAGTCAGGGAGACAAGGGAGATGAGCGGGACAGCAGGGAGGTGAGTACTGGGCTGAGATGCCCCAGATGTGCGCAGCTGGGGGCAGGAGGTGGAGTCTAGTCATCGGGCCTCTCTTCTGGAGGATCCTCATCGATGGGGGGTGCAGGTTGGCAGCGGAAGTGGTCGTTCCAAATCTTAAGGAAGGTGACCCGAAACTTCTGGATACGGAAGGCATAGACGATGGGATTCATGGCCGAGTTACCATGTGTGAGGAAGATGGCGATGTACATGAGGAGCCTCGGCTTATGGCAGGAAGGGCAGAAGAGGGTGATGCAGTTAAGGATGTGTAGGGGCAGCCAGCTGAGAGCAAAGAGGAAGAGGATGAGGGCCAGCGACTTGGCGATCTTCAGCTCCTTCCCATAGTACTTCTGCGGGTCGCCAGAGGATGCCGACACCTTCCTGTTGAGCTGCTTGCGGATCAGGTAGAAGACCTCCAGGTAGATGAAGACCATGAGGAGCAGTGGGGGCAGCACCCAGACAAAGAAGTTGAAGTAGACCATGTACTCCATGCTGATCACCTTCTCAAACTGGCACTTGATCACGGGCTCGCCTGCACTGCCATTGGCCACCCAGGCCCGCTCCACCGCACTCAGGTTGTTCCAGCCGAACATAGGTGTCAAGCCCACCACAAAGGAGAGAATCCAGCAGCCAACGATGGCCACCACAGCCCTTCGGGGAGTCACCACTGTCTTGTACCTGGGGGAGAGGAGGGCAGAGCGTGAGGCCCCCTCCTCAGTTCACCCGGCCCCTGGGGGTCTCTAAGAGGAGGCCCCTGCTCAGCCAGGGCCCAGTGAGTGGGGAGGTGCATGTCTTTGGCTAGAGGGTCAAGTCTTTGGGATCTAAAATTTAGGCCAGAACTTGCAATGCACTGGTTCATGTCTACTGCTGAGGGTGGGAAAAAACAGAGAAGAAAATAACAAATGAATTCCTTTCGGAGTTTTACTAAAATTACCAAAGTAAGAATTGCTCACGTGTGCTGGGCACACCCCCACTGGTGACCTTATCATTGCTTTGTGACAGTTCCCATGGGGTAGAAAAGCACCAGCAGAATGAGTGCCCATTTGACAGATGAGAAAACTGAGGTTCAGAGTAGCCACGTGTTCTGCCCGAGACCATATGGGGGGTGGCAGCACTGTCCTGTGCTTCCTAACTGACCACAACAACAAGGTGATTAACAAACCACCCCTCCTCTTGGGCCAGCTGACACACTATCATAAAAAGCCTTCCCACACCCCCTCCTTTTGGCTGTGTCCCATCTCTGCCAGTGTCCCCATCTCCCACCTCCATCCTTACCTTGCCTCCCCTTTCAGTCATGTACAGTGCTTATCTCCTGAGGGGTTGATCTCAAGAACGAGCTCTCCACCCCCAAGCTAATTGGGAATTATTCTCAGGAAAGAAAACTGATGTTCATTGAGGACTGCATGCAAGGGACTCCCATTTATGCATGCATGCATGGGTGTATTCACTCATTTTTGCGTGCCTTCTGTGCCAGGCATTGGTCTCTGTCCTAGGAGTAAGATTAAAAATCCCTACCTCTATGCAGCTCACATTTTGGGTGAAGAAATAGATAACACAAAAGTAAGGAAATAAATAAACAAGACAACTAGAGGTTGTGATATGTCCTTTGAAGGAAATAAGCAGGACGATGTCAAGGGGCAGAGCTACCAACCTTTTACATGCCATGACATTCACAGATGATGAAAACATTTGGATGACAGAGAAAATGGATGAGGCTGCCCATGGGCCGTGACTTTTCCCCCACCCCTGCCCCCAGGGTTGAGGGGATGACCCTCCGAGCGGGGGGCTCCCCACTTCCCTTTAAACCAATCCAGCCAGCAGCCAGCATGTCCTCTTCCCACACACTGGCCTTGGAGTTAGTGCCAAGGGCTGGGGCCTGCCCAGCTCTGTGCTGAGGAGCTGGCTCAGCCCAGCAGCTTGCCCAGTTGTTATTTTCCAATGTAGCTTCTGAGATGGATGAAGTCCCCTCCTGAGCATGTGAACAGCTACTGAGACCCACGGGTGTGAAGGCGGAGGCCTCCCTCTGACTCCGTTTTCTTCTGTCCCGTGCCTGTGAAATCTGCGGCTTTCTCTTTCACAGCAATGATTCTTAAGGTCCCTCTCACCCTGGACCAAAGCCCACTGCTCCTTGAAGGCTTTACAGGAGTGGGAAGGGGAATGATTTGAGGGATGGGAGAAACTGGACCCCACCCCCACCCCATCTAGAAAGCGAGCACTAGATAAGCAACCTCATTTCTAATCTCATCATTCCAGTGGGGAAACTGAGGCCCCTAGATGACTCCAACACCTTCAGTGTGGTGCCCCATCCCCTACTCTGTAATCATAGGGTCCTTGTGTCCCCAAAGCTCCAAGGGGCCTTGAAATCTGTCCAGTTTGCTTCTGCCTTCATGAAGTTTTCTTAGGTCTAATCCTTGCTCTCTTGCTGTAACTAAAGCCTATTTCCACCTCTTGAATCCCCAGCAGGATAGCCAGCCTGGTGCATACTTTGGAGTCAGAGAGATCCATATCTGGGCCCCAGGTCTGCAACTTACTAAGTCAGTTCTTCCCCTGTAAAGTGAGACTGTGGGACCCACTTCAGATGAGCTAACATATGTGAAATGCTCTGTAAGCACGCCACCAACATTTCTGTGCCTGAGCTCCTAACCCTCCAAGCCCCCGGAAAACACACGCACCTGAGAAACCCTGCTATCTCTAGATGCTCAGCAAACACAGCCTAATGGCTCTGTAAACATCTGGCTCAAGGTTTGTTTCTGATGAGCTTAAAGTGCTTCCCACATGTCCTATAGTGAAAGAAGCTTTGGGCAAGTCCATGGGGTGAGACTAAAGGAGCGCAGGTCATTCTATCAAAAGATATGGGGAGGGGGAAGGGTAAGCTGTGACAAAGCGAGAGAGTGGCATGGACATATATACACTACCAAACATAAAATAGATAGCTAGTGGGAAGCAGCCGCATAGCACAGGGAGATCAACTCGGTGCTTTGTGACCACCTGGAGGGGTGGGATACGGAGGGTGGGAGGGAGGGAGACGCAAGAGGGAAGAGATATGCGAACATATGTATATGTATAATTGATTCACTTTGTTATAAAGCAGAAACTAACACACCATTGTAAAGCAATTATACTCCAATAAAGATGTAAAAAAAAATAAATAAAATAATAAAAATAAATAAAAATAAATAAAAAAGGCTAAGGTACTCTGCCACAGCCGTCACAGGCAGGGGGTAGGTCCCTGTGGTGAGCCGCAGCAGAGCGCAGTGGAGCGGCAGCTGCAGAAAGAAGGATGTAGGCCAGGCACCCCCTATCACAGCCCATCACAGCTATGATTTACCTCATATTGATCATTTACAAAGCCCTTCCCAGGTAATCCCCGTAACCACCCTGTGAGGTGAGTATAGCGCAAAATGGAATCCCCATTTTACAGATTAGGAGCTCGAGGTCCAGAAATGGGCAACGACTTGCCCACATCTCCTGACTCCAAGACCAGCTCTCCTCACGGCACCGGGCTGACTGTGGGTTGTTTAGGTGTGGATGATTGGCAGATTGGGAACATCCCTTTCCTACAAGCTTTAAAATGGGAATGTCTAGACCCTATTCAAAGGTGGTACCACCCAGAGAAAGGGGGGTATACACAGTGACCTCTGGTATTGCCATCCAGCCTGAGGACTAGGGGAGGGGTATCTTGCCCAGGACCCACATCTGGGCAGTGATGACCCACCAAGAGAGGAGGTGAATTCTGACAGTGTCCCAGGTGACAGAGGAGGAGGTAACTTCTAGCTAGAGAGGTGCCACCTTTTCTCTTCCCCTCACCCTTCCCAACTGCCTGGAGCCCCGGGGGTTAAAGCTTTCCTGGGGCTCCTCCGGGCCAGGTCCCAGCAGACTCTGCAGCTTAGGGTATCAGTTCTCATCTGTTTTTCTTGCTATTTTCTCCATGGTGGGAAAGGGCTGGACCCAGGACCTTGGCTGAGGTAGGGCAGGCTCTCACAGGAAGGGCTGCCTCTCAGAGCTGGGAGAAAAACTTACCTCTCCCTACACGGGACCTTGGCTGAGGTAGGGCAGGCTCTCACAGGAAGGGCTGCCTCTCAGAGCTGGGAGAAAAACTTACCTCTCGCTACACGTGGGAAAGAGAAGCAGAGGCTGCAAGTCCTAGGGTGCACATGGGGTGGGGCGTGCTGAATGTGCCACAAACACTTGTCCCACCAAGTCATGGTCCAAGGCCTCATAACCCCCAACTTTATAGACAGCCCTGTGAGAGCTAGCCAGAGAGATGGCTGCCCTCAGGAGTGTGCAGTCTCAGACAGACAAAGGGGAAGCAACAGAATGGAGGCACTGGAACACCAAGTGGAGCCCTGTCCACAGGCAAGCAGGGAAGGCAGCTCCTTAAAGATGTTGTTGAAGAAACCAGGGAGAGCCCTGCCCCCTCCTGTATCTCCCACACAGTGCATAAAATCCCCCCATTGGTGAGATGTTCCTTTGGGTTAAGAATCGCCCTCTCTGTGTGTTATTTTTAAAGCCAAGATAACACTGACTCCATAGTATGAATTACTTTATTTGTCAGTATCTTCTTATTGATGATGAGAAAAATGAAAAAACTGGGTACCTAGAGTAGTTGGGGTGGCAGAGACTCCAAGAGGAAAAGGGAGAGCTTAAGGAAAGCGGTAGAAGAGTCTCCCGTTGCCAAGAGCTGGCCTAGCTGAATAGACAAGTATTTCATAATATAGCTGCTGCAAGAATAAGTAAGTGTGCTTTAGAGGTCAAAGTTAGGGAAGGAGGGCTACAAATCCTGTACCCAAATAGGGCAAAAGGCAGAGGAAGCCTTTGCTACTTCCCTGGACACCTTGGCAGGGCTGCCATAGGAGGGGAGGAGGTCCTGGAGGCTAAGGGAGGGGGGATGTTCAAAAATAATAGTTAACTGATTGACAGCAATAATAACAATGCTAATAAAAGCTAACATTTATTGATGCTTTTCATGTGCTGGCACCAACTTTATAGACAACCCTGTGACGTAGGCATTATTATGATTATTATTCTCATTTTCTAATCGCAGTAACTGAGATTCAGATTATGAAACATGTCCAAGGTCACTCAGTGAGTAAGAGGTAGAGATGGAATTTCTAAGACTGAGATTTGTCCTAGTCCAAAGCCCATGAAGGACCCCAGCTCTGCCACTTTGGGAAGATGGAGAACAAGGGGGGCTCAGAGGGTGGAGGTCCAGTACAGAAGAAGGGAGTCATGGTGGAACTCCCCTGCTTCAGGTAACCCCCTGGACTGGGCACCTCTGAAGATGGCAGCAGGCCTGCCTGGGAGCCTCCCTCCTCCCTCCAAGTCCAACCTCTTTGTAGCCCTCAGACTGGTCTGTTCATGATCAGCTCAGCTGTTTAGTCGTCAGTGCTGGGGCAAGTAGGCAGCTGAGGCACCCTCCCTTTTCATTCATTAAACAGATATTCACGGAGGGCTCTTAGGTGCCAGGTTACAAGTGCTGGGTTCAGGAATATCGAAGAGAACAGGCTTTCAGGAAAGTAACATTCTAGACGCAGGGGATAAACCAAAAAACAGATTGTTTGAGACCTACCAAGTGAAATAAATAGCGAGTGGCTGGGCATGGAGTGCTGTTGGCTTAGGTTGTGTACGTGCTCAGGACAGCCTCTCTGGGGAGGAGACACTGAGCTGAGAGGGACACG